TCATGTATGATTTCGGGGCCCCCTACACCATTTTGCACGTCTGTTTCGTTGGTGCAAAACCCAGCATCAACATCCATGAAGGTATGGAAGTGCTTTATATGGAAGCACCGCCGAGATCTTGCAGAAAGTGAGGACATTTAAAGACGGGAAGCTTAAAATATCAAAAGATGGCCTGCTCCTTCATGACGAAAATGGAAATGCTTTGACGGAGATGCTCGTAATTCTTGGGCAGGTGTCTCAACATTACAGGCCCTTTCGTTCAAGAACACAATGCCGTTTTGTGACGCCCTCAAGGTATTAAATTTTTTAGATGACTTACTACTTTAATTAATAAATAATTTTCATCCTTAATTTTTTATGCTTCAGAAAGAATATCGGATTTGGGGGACGAAGAACTATATCGTCACGCAAGGCTAGTGACTTCAGCTGTGATTGCAAAGATTCATACCATTGATTGGACGGTCGAGCTCCTCAAAACTGCTACTCTACTTGCAGGATGCGTGCCAACTGGTAATTTTTTTCAAACAAAATTAACCTCTTAAAATTAATCATAAATATTATATATTTTTCTTGTATTTCAGGTATGGATTGTTAGGTAAAAATTCAAGACACACTTTGGGCATGTTGGAGGAGGAGTCCTATTAAGTGGTTTGGTTGGTTTAAAGAAGCCAGAAAATCATGGCGTCCCATATTCTTTAACGGAGGAGTTCGTCGGCGTTTATCGGATGCACTCACTGATGCCCGATCACCTTCATCTCAAGATACACAGCTGCACCAGGACCCAACAAGTCTCCACCTTTGACCCAAAGTATGGCCTTCCCCTCTTTTTTTTAGTCCTGTATTATTTTCTGCTAATTTATTCCATTGCTCATTTGTCCAAAGGGCCAATGCAAAATTAATCGGGCACAACAGAGAAATTCGTTGTCAGAAATTTGATTTGAAAGGCAATGGTTTCAATGGGTCACCAAGCTTGCGGTGCCTTACAGCTTTGGAACTATCCTGTATGGATAGACCTGGTAGCACAAAATGTGATGGCCAGATAGGCCAAATCATGTGGACGCCAGCTCTGGAAGGTATGTAACTTTATTAATTATCACTGATGAGGATAGTTTTAATTTTGGTTGCATCTTATCATCAATAGGGTTGATGATGCGTTTATAGAGACGGAGAGAAAAATTGCACGTTATAATCAGTTCCGCAGGGCGCTACTTCTGATTCCTATCTAAATGGGAATCTAACAGATGATAAAGAAGCGATTAAAGTGCTCAAAAGAATTTATGTTATGATGTTGAACACGCTTGATCTTCTAGTCGGACTCATGGCAGAGAAAAAGATCAAGGGTTTCGCTATTAGTGAACAGCTTTTATAATTTTCCTGGTGATGGCAACCAGGTAAAACCAAAGATAGATTCTATATTGCATAATTGTTCTTATGAGAGATTATTTTAAAATGTCATGCATACAGGAGACTTGAAGCTGACAGGTTTTTTTACAAGCAATTCAATGAGGAGACATACACAAAAAAGGATTCCATTGGGTGTACTACAGAGAGCCTTAAAGAGGTATTAGACCGCCATTACCCGAAAATGACAGAGAAATGGATGAACTCAACGAGTGCATTTTCTGTTTGGGACTCACCTCCAAATGCCCGTAACCCCATCCCTCTCTACCTTCGAGTTCCAATGTGAACCTCTACATCTTTGTGCGTAATACGTACTAAATAATTTATTGCCAATGAGCCCAATGAACTTACGATATGACTCTTCCATACTCAGTTGTAATGTAGCAGTGGGCTCCGAGTCCGACCCATAATGCCATATCATAAATTTTCAATTACGTATTAATTAGTTCATATGTAATTGTTAGTATGAAATCAAAATAGTATTAATTGTAACAAAATATTGACTCATAACTCTATTAATTACAGTACTACAATATGATCTTGCTAAGTTGTGCACTAATGGGCAATGGCAATGTATTCAGTGGGAACAAACTCAAGCCTATTGAGAACTGAAAATTTTAGTTTCTATTTTTTTTTAAATAACTTTTTATTGTTTATAATTCTATATTACTGGCATTTCTTTTCCTTTAAAAAAATATTCACCAGAAAAAGTATTTGTTTTTCTAGTAAATTTAAAGCACCAATAGACTACATAAGTTGAATCCATTCGCAACAACAACTCTCAATAAATTCTAGAAGTACCTAAAGACTTAATTACTTAAAGAAACAATTAAGTATTTCCAAAATTAGCTCAACCAAAATCATCTTATCTTAATTACATAATATTGGATCGTTATGTGATTCAATTTAATATAATAATAAAATAATAATAATATAGGCTTAACCTTACCAAAAATCCAACTAAAATATAGGTTATTGAAATAAAAAAATTAATAGCTGGCTCCATCTCTCTCCCCACGGTAATTGCCGAACAAAAACTCTCCCCTTTGTGACCCCCTACTCAAAACCCACTTTGGATATTTTCCTCTTTATCTCTCCGTCCTTTGTTGATTACAACTATAACCTCTCACAATGCTCTTCCTTCTTCCCCTCTAATCTTACTCTCCTTGTCTCTTTCACTTCCACTTATTACATTTCTTCTTCTCCTCCTTTCTCTCTTTTTTTTTTTTTTTTTTTTTTCTTTTTTATTTACACCATCTGTAATCATTTTCAATTTTTCTTAAGTCTTTTTGTACGCTCAGATCCATTTTAGCATCTGGATTCTCTCCTTTTCCCCAAATTCTTGTGGATCTTCAATTCATTTCAAGAGTTCTGGTTCTTTGCTGGGTATTCAGATCTTATGCCCAATGTCACAAGGTTAGGCATTGAGCTTTATTTTCGATCCCGCTTTGGAAAACCAAGTGTTGAAAGCATGGAACGTGTGGCTCGCCGCCAAATCAGTACCCCAACTCATTGAAATCGAGTCACGTCCGCATATAACTCTGTTTTCCAGCCCCAGTGTAGAGGCCCACAAGACTTGATCCATTATAAGAGCTTTGCTCAAAGCAAGAACCTTGCTTTTGTCTCTATCACAATTGGGAGTTTTTGCAATGACACAATGTCTTGTTTCTTCTTGCACCAACGCCTTCAGTTTCTCTACTTCAGTTTCAGTCTCAGTTATGTGAACAATCAAGAAAGAAGGGATTGATTAGGAGACGATATCGTGCTGAGAATTGGATTCCTTATTGTTCTGTTGCTCAGAAGTTCCAAAGACGAAATGGCGGAGGCCTTTTGTGTTTTGAGAGGTTGAAGTTGCCTTTTTTCTGGATATGCAATGGATTGGTGTTGTGGAGTATTCCCCTGTTCGGGTGTCTCTTTCGGCTTGTAACACTGTAGAAGCATAACTTTTTCTTTTAATTGGGCTTATAGAATATGTTGAATTTGATGTTTCTAGTTTTATAAGTTGATGTACTTCATCTTTGGTTTTAGTTTATATGAATGTGGAACTAGAGCCATAGTAGGAGAGTTTCATTTATGTTTTTCTAAAATGGTAGCAAATTGACTTTTTATCTTTTTTTTTATTTAAGATGTATTTTCTTATTTGGTTATGTTGAGAATATGTTTGAAATCATACCCGACGTTCTTATTTCATTCAATTTTTTGTGGCTGGTTATTTTAATGTCCTCTGGGATGACTTGTATTTCAGTGAACAACGTATATGTTCTTATTTGGATGATGGATTTGTAGAGCATGATGCCAACTTTTCGATTACAATTAAATTTTCATTTGTTTATATAGAGTATGCATTTGCAATTAACATTTTCAATGGAATAAAGGCTAGGGTTTGCTAGTGGTATAATCATCATAGAAGTGTCTTATCTACTTTTGCATGAAATTTCATGCTTGGTAATCGAATCTAATCTAATTCTTACAAAAATCTTAAATACGGCATCCTGCGAAATGAGAATATGAGTCTTGTTTCATCGCTCTTGTCTGACATCATTATGAAAAGAAGAATTATGTTTCATTTTTTTCTATATGGTTAGTAAAGGTTGTGTTTCTTGGTTTGTGAACTTTCATAAGAATTGCCTGAGGGTTCCTAATTGTCTTGACAACCTTTATAGGCTTCATTAATGAATAAGTTGGGTTGAAATTGAAGTCTAGATTGGTAGCCTTGCAGGGAACATATCTTTTATTGTATCTTACTAGCGATACATGTTCAAATCATTATTAAAATATTTAGGAGCGTTTCTTCTATGCTCAGATCATTTAATTGCTCTTTGCCTGTTACACATTTGTGTTGCTCTAGAATCATCAATTTATACTTGTATTGTAGCTTGAGGTTATCTGTACTCATCTTAAGTTTAGTCTAGTAACAGAATTTCAAATACGCTTCCCGTCGAAATGAAGCATAAGCGGCAAGCTCATTGATGACCTTCATGCGTAGTCCTGCTACTTGTTGGCATTGCTTGTCATTGTTGTCTTGAGTATGTTATTTTTCTAATACAACAATTTTGCAGTTATAATGTTTATTCCGCAGCCTTGATCCTGTATTTTACCCAGCTGTTCCTACATTGTTAATTTGCATGCAGCGGGCCTGGTATTGCAGCAATATTAGCATTAATTAGAGTACATTCCGTAAGAGAAAATTGTTGGCTTTATCCAGAGTGAAGGTCTTTATGCTGCTACGCTTTGTTTTTTGGTTGTCTGTACTTTTGTTTGTTTCTCACGCAGCACACTGTCATCCCCATGAAGAAAAATTAGGAAACATTACCAGAATGAACTTCTCCCAGCTGCTGCTTGTTCTACTTTTATCTTATTTCCTTTTTTATTTATTAATTTTCTGCTGGGTAGTTGTTGCCAGATTGTTAAAAAGATATAATCATATCAATTATCATAACAATGTGGATGACCCTTCATCTTAAGTTTGCTCAGACGATGTTTGAAGTTAAATTGCATTCATTTGTTATTGATGCTCCTTTTCTCTTTGCGATAGATAATTAGATGATTGATCTCAATTGAATATGCAAAGATCCTCATTTACTGATGTTCTAGATCTACTAGTTTTCTTCATCTTTCAGGTGGGCAATAAAAAATCTATTATCTACATGGAAAACAGACGGACACTGTATAAATAAGTAATATACAGTATTTTCTAGTAAGCTGGATCCATAAGAAGAAATTAACCCCGTTTCTATTTCTAGAAATGCCATCAAAAATTCATTCCAGACATCGATTGGACCTGGTAAGCACCAATGTACGCAGTCATTGTAACCCTTCAACCAATTATTTCCCCAGAATTCTTCTGGATGCCCATCAGGTCTCATCAACATTGCTTTAGTGACATCCATAATCACAAAGCTCTTCCCTTTCTTGTCTCCCTCCGTTCTTGCTCTTTCAGTTTCTTCTACCTGAATTTTTCTCAGTTCCCATCCTTCACCTCCCAAATCAATCTCTTTTTCACCTATGGGACTTGTCCTGTTGCAGCTTCCTCCAGTGTTCCAGCTTCCATTCTCAAAATGAGATGGTGAAAATGTCCTTACAACTGTCACTATGCCTCGACACCTGCTGCAGTCATTGACGTATTTAAATGCTGCTCGAAAGGTCATATGGATCGCTCCGATGACGCCAACATTGGTTATACTTGAGTTATAGCAATATACACATCCTACTATGTTTGGTCCTTCATACAAGTAAATAGGCCTGAAGAACCAATGCTCAACTGCGATAATTGCATAGTCAATTGTAGGGAGGTTTGTTGTCCAACTTTCATCAATCTTGTCAAGATGCAAATTGTAACACTCACTTGAACCATTGATCACTTTACGGTCTCCAACAACTAGGAATCCAGACCAGAGGGTCATGAGAGTGAAGTCATGTCCACGAAAATTCCATATCCGGAGCCTGTCTTCAGGATCCTTATAAATATCTTTCGGAACTTCCTCCTGCAAAAGTCATATTGTCAGAATCATAGGACTGTCCAAGACAAATGGTGCCTCAAATATTGTTGGCACTGACCTGAGCCAACAGACAGAGAAGTGATTCCAATTGGTTCCTGGCAACAGAGTCACCAATGAATGCCATTTTGTTTCCACGAACCATATCCAAGAAAACCTTGGCATCAAACCTTGGAAGATCACAATCGTCAGGTTTCCATCTCCATTTTAGAAAATCATCGTCCTTCCTCCCTTGCATGAAACAATTGTTCGATTCCGGAATTGTTAGACAGCTTGAATCTGTATAGCGTGACCCTTTATCGTCTGCTACCCAATGACCCTTAAACAAGTCACAATTCGCAATCCCATAATCTGAAAAACAAAAGCATTCATTACCATCTAATCTTAATCTTAAACAGGACAAAAGAAGAAATGGGCTATCTTGAAATACGAAACTTGGTGTCCTACAACGGGTGCATACATTTGCTGAAACCCACATCTGGTCAAAGGATTCAAGGGGTACGGGAAATAGAGGAAGAAGCTGAGAATGATGGTTGCAACTAGTGAACACAAGAACAAAGGAACCAGTTTCCCAATGCTGACACATCTCTCCTTTCTGGTATATTGACCATGTTTTTCTTGGAATAGAGAATAAAACTTCATTTTCCAAGCAAAAGTAGAAAATGGGAAATCTTTTCCTTTGAAAAGTAAAACAATAATGAGGTTTAATCTCTAGAGAATGTATAATTTCTTCCATTAGAAGATAGTCAGGCGCATTATACCGGTTGTTTTTTTATTATCTCAGAAGTAAAAAGGTACAAAAAGGTCTCTATCATTTGTGTGAGGCAATTAATGGCAACCGTGTGATTTGCATTCATGCAATTCAGAAAATGCACGAGATTCTGTGGAGGAATTTACTTACCCTGATTAATCGGCGGGATAGGTGTGTTTGTTTTAATATTTAGAATAGTATTTTTGAAATAGTAAGAGGGGGGGGGGGGGGGGGGGGGGGGGGGGGGGGGAATAAACAGGTAGAATTTAAAAATTAATAAATACACCCTCTAGGTTTGTTAATTTCTAAACACCCTTGTAATAAAAAATTAAAAATTACAAAAACACCCCTATCTACCCATTAAATACCGACAGCTAGCCACCACCGCCGGAGGGTGGTCGAAGTCGCTGTATCGATGCACGACCTGTTGGATATGGTGGTTCGTGCGTCGAGATAGCCTTTTTTAGCCAAATCCATCATGGATTTGGTCAAAAAATGCCAGATTTATGGCTAGATCTGGCCACTGACAATCAGATCTGGTCGTGTTTGGTCGTCAACGACGGCAAAAAATATGGTCGTCGTTGACGACTAGCTATGGCCAAAGATCTGGCTATCAACGACTAGATCCTAGGTCGTAGATCTGGCCTTTTCCGATCAGATCCACGGTAGATCTGACTGAACAATGCTATATCGATGCACCACTGGCCAGATCCAGCCAATAGTACGTCATTATACTATATTCCAATCGCCTTCCGATGGTGGTGACCGGAATCTAGCAAATGTGGGCGGTGAGGGTGTTTTTATTAATTTTTAAACTTTTTTTTAGAGGTGTTTACTTAAATTAATAAACTTAGGAGATTTAAAAATAATAAAATAAAATATAATAGTACTTTCAAAATATGGAAACAAACGTGTATTTTGAAAATAGTATAAATATGATAGGAGAAAATATTGAAACAAACGACCTGCAGTAAATAATGTAATGGAAGTATTTACACCATATTTGGTCAATAAAATAAATCTAGCTTAATATAATCTCAACATTTTCACCATGGATTCATGGATAATAATTCCGCTATGCAAAAACAATTTATTATGAAGTGGTATATGTCCTATATAAGAATATTTTCTCTGGACAAAAGAATGGTATATGATATATATGCCTACAGAAAATTTGAGAAGTATTATATACTAGCTCGCCTCTAAGAGAAAAAATTTAAGCCAACCTCCTTTGCAAGAATCGCCATTAAGAAATCACTCCATACATCAATTGGACCCGGCAAGCACCAATGAACACAGTCATTATAACCCTTCATCCATTTGTTTCCCCAGAATGCTCCAGGATGCCCATCAGGTCTCATAAGCATAGCCCTTGTCACATCCAAAATCTCAAACTTTTTGCCATGTTTTTTACCTTCTTTTCTAGCTCTTTCAATTTCTTCAACCTGAATGTTTCTTAATTTCCATTCATTAGCTTCGGATTCGATATCTCTTTCGTCATAGGGGCTTGTCCTGTTGCAGATTCCTCCAGTGTTCCAAGTTCCATTCTCAAAATGGGAAGGCGAAAATGTCCTCAGCAATGTAACTAACTTCCTGCTGCATCTCTCGCAGTTGTTGATGTATTTGAATGTGGCTTTGAAGGACATTCCGAGGGCGTCCACAACATCATATTTGGTTACATTTGGTTCGCTGCAATATACGCATCCGATTACATTGGCGGCTTCGTGCAAGTAAATTGGCCGAAAGAACCAGTGAGCTGTTGATATGATAGCGTAGTCTAAAATGGGGAGTTCTCTGGTCCATTTCTCATCAACATTGTCAAGGTGCAAATCAAACACGCCGGAAGATGAGCCATTTACAATTCTCTCTTTGCCAACTACCAGAAATATTGACCACACCATTTTCAGAGTGAAGTCATGCTCAGGAAAATACCATATCCGATTCCTGTCTTCAGAATCTTTGTAAGCATCAATTGGAGTTTCCTCCTGCAATAGTTGTCAAGAAATTAAAACCAAGTTCATGTGCTTCTTTTGAAATTTTTTAACAATTTTTGACATTAGAAAAAACACTTAAGAATATTCTAACTTGGACCCAATTTAGTTTGACGACCTTATTTGTTCAAATATTTCGATCATTACTGCATTCATTCAAATATTCAATGGTTACAGCTAGCCAAAGGCCATTTTCTCGCTAGCTAGTGGATTATTGTCAACTTTGATCATGATACTCGGATTTTACATGAACATATAATTTTATTTAATGGATTTTCTGCTTAATTAGTCCAATCGAGTTGGGTAGGACACATTTGACTTTGGCTTTTGATTTTTGGTTGCTTTAATTGATCTAATTAGTATAATGATAATGTAGTTTCAAACGTTTATTTATTTTTCAAGTATTATTGTTGAATTATAATGGTGATGTGTAACCACACTTGCTTTTTTTTTTTTTTTAAAAATTTTGGTTTTGAGCTGACACTATGATTGCCACCACAGAGTTTAGAGAAAACAAGAGACTCGATTAAATCTAAAATATTTAGAATTTTGGACACAAATAAATCATCTAAACATTAACATAAAAGCTAAATTTGNAGAATCTTTAGGGAATAAATTATGGTTTTTAAAGTGGGTTTGGAATTGATGGGTCAGGATTTAGAGGATGTTATTTGCCCCCATTATTGACTTAGAGCATCCTTTTTTTAATGTTTATTTTTTAAAATATATTTATTCTTAACTAAGATCTAATTACAATTAATATGGTGTCTCTAAAACCTATATGTAAATCCTAATTTGAGATCTTTTCTGAAAATGAAATGTTATATATTAGATATAAAAATTTAGAGTAAAAGACTTTTATCCACCCAAAACGTTTGAAAATATAATTTTACTATTTACAACAAATTTTCGTTAGTATATTTAATTGTAAGGAAGGTAGGATGGTAAAAAGTTTGTTAAAAGGAAGGGTAGAATAATCGATTAATATTTTGCATTAAAAAAATCAAAATTTTTAAATTCAAGTGTAAGTAATTGTAGGGTTGAACGGTTGCCACGTGTTTTTTCTCTCATTCCCTTCTCTTTTTTTCCTATTTTTTTTTTTTCATCCTCTTTCTTTCTTTCCTTAATTTTTTATTTCTCCTCTCTTCACTACGCTTCCCACTACCTCCCCTCCGCTGCTCTGCCCAGCTCCAATTTCCTCGCTCCACTTCCCCACCACCTTCCCTCCCCGCATCCCCCGCATAGCAGCACCAACCCACCCACTTCACTTTTCACCGTCACAGCACACCCCTCACTTGCTCTTCAAAACCCACCCACACACCGTCCACGCTTGCTCGCTGATTACCACCTGCAGCGTTTTGATTGTTGTTCTGTATTTTCGGGTGATTGTTCTGTATTTTCGGATTTTCTTGCTGTGGCTTGTTTTTTGATGTTGATGGAGTAGTCTGGAGTTTGTATTGAAGTTTGGGTGTTGTTTGGTTGTTTTTTGGAGTGTTCTTGTGTTTGTTCTGGTCGGATTAACCCCACCAGTCACCGTCGTTCACTCTTCAACGCAACCTGCACACCACCTATTCGTTAAAAATCCCCACCCAGCTAACTTTCCCCTGCTGATTAATTGGATGGTGAGAAAATTGAAGACTTTTGTTTTAGAAGGGAATTTTGATGAGAACTTTTTTAGGGAGGCTTTTTTGGTGACAAAAAAAAAATGTTACTAGAAATGTTATTCTTGACTAAATAAACTGAGAAGAAAATGATTAGTAAAATTTAAAAAAAAAAAAAATGAGAAGAATTGATATAAGAAAAAGTGAAGAAAATGTAAATGAAAGGAGAAGAAAGTAAGAAGAAAGAGGAGGTGAAGAGATGGAAGAAAACGAAAAAGAAAAAATAAGGGTTTTTTTTTAAACAAAAGAAAGGTAGAATAAATTGGTAATTTATATTATATGAGGTTACATTAGTAATTTTATATTTAAAGAGTGGGTATATTAATAATTAAAAATGACATAATAAAATGAAAAAATTTAAATTAGATAATAAAAGGTATTTTTGTCTTCATAATAAATTCATTGTAGTTTATTGAATATAACTATTGTATTTTAAAATATTTTAAGTATTATTAGACCATTTTGGGTGGAAAAAAATCGTTTACTCTTAAAAAAAAAAATTAAGGATAACTAAAGATGGGGTTTTTCCAAAAATCGGCAATGTCAAGGTAGACTGAATGCCAGGCCCAAATATTGGGCATAAAATCCAATTTTATTAATGGGCCCAGGAGGTACTCAATTTGCACCCGAGTTGCCTCGAATAAAATTAGTCTTTATTTGTAGGTACCATTGAAGATGCTTTCAAATTATCTCTTGCTTTAATTTACTTTATAAAAGTTTTTCATTTGGTTGTGGAGATTAATTCCATTTTAATATAGGCTTTCTATTACATAGCTTAAAGTAATTTGTAACTAGAACTTTGGTCACTCAACGAACCGCACTTCATGCCTATTTACTCAAAATGACTATTTTTAAATAGAGACTTGTAGCTATTAAGGTGCTAATAATATACCTTAAGGGTGTGTTTGGTTTGGGGTAATCCTAACTTACTGAGGTAATGTCATCTTATATTATTTGATTATCACGTTTAATTGTCCAGTAATATAATATTCTAGTAATATTTCAAAACTAATAGTAATTATTGTTGGTAATATATGAGGTAATCTGATTATCTCCATTTTCTTAGGTATTTTCAGATTACTTGGTAATCTTAATTTTGTTACAATTTAACCCTTTATTATTAAATTTTTGGAAAATAATGCTCTTATTTTGAAATTAATTTACATGAACTCTACCATTACAATTTTACCCTAAATAATTAAAGTTCTGATAGTAATGCCCCTATTTTTAAAACAATTTACAAGCCATCCAAGATGATTGCTATAGCCAGCCACCACCACCACCATCGATGGGCACCGTCGCTGAAATGGCGCATGACTAGCTAGATATGGCTGGCTGTGGGCCGATATGATATTTTTCTGCCATATCGATGACCGTAAACGACCATATGGCCTTGGATCTAGGATTTTTTGGGTTGGGTAGCAGCCGATATTAATCCCGATTTGGGCTAATTCTGGCATCGTTGTTGGCCCCAACCACCACCATCTTACTCCTCTCGCTTTCCTCTTCAAATCCCACCAAACCCCATCATCGGAGTTGCCCCCAATCGCTGGCGAAGCCCATTGTTTTTTCATGATTTCCCTTTTTCTCAGTACTTTTTCGGTCACGTTTTCTACCGGAAATCACCCCCCACTTGCATCGATTGACTCCCCTTCAACTCCTCTTCAAAACCCCTCAAAAACATCTTCGTTGCACTTCTCGATCAACGACCAACGTTGGTTTAAGCGACCGGCAGTGGCTTGGTTGGGTGGGGGTATTTGTGTTAAAAATTAAACTTTTATGTGGCTGGGTTGTTTTAGCAAAATCTCAAATGTAGGGGGTTAAAAGAATGCTTAAAAAAATAATATTATATTAATATTTTGAAAGGAGGGTAATTTAGTAATTTATATAACATACCCACAAATTTATTCCTCCAAACCAAACATATCAATATAATATACCCACCAAATTATTCCAACCAACCAAACATATCAATATAACATATCCACTAATTTATTCAAACAAACCAAACTAAACATTCTCAATAATCTTTAAGGATTGGTGGACGGCCGTATGTTTGTAATGTGTGACCGTCCATCAATATAGACAAGCGTCCATAATTGTTGAATAGTTGTTCATTTACGGAAGACGTATTATAGTGTCAAATATGGTTGCGTTTGACTAAGATACCATGTAAGTCGGTACAATAATTTAGTGAGATTAATCGGTATTCAGAGCATTATTGAATGTATTGTTACAATAAAATACAAATTGTTGGTTTTTTTGCTTGTTTCTTGGTTGGTTGACCAAATGTTTTTATACAATTGATGTAACAAACTGTTTACTTCTTTGCTTGTTTCTTAGCTATATGACCAAATGTATAAATAAAAAGATGGAGCAATTGGGAGAAACGCATAGAATCCATAATGAGATTCCACAAGTTATGGGGTGTTATTTTAAACTCATGGGGTGTCATTATAAAAAAATGCAAACCTCGGGGGAGGTAAGGGATAATAAGCCTTTCCACAAAATATTTCAATGTAAGTTGCAAGCATTGACCTCTAGATAACTCGATGACTGAAACTCCCATAATTTTATAATCAAAATTGAAACTGGT